AATGCATAATTAATTATGTATTCTTGTTTTTTAAATAAATGTTGATTTGTTTTGAAAGAAGTTTCTTTTATTGTAAATATTTAAGAAAATTTAATGTTATATTAATAGATTGTGCTTCAAAAAATTAATTCTATTTTGAGATTGATGAAACTTTTAAAATGTAGTTGTTTTTGAAAAATTTGCTTCTCTTTATAAAGTACTTAATTTAAAAAAAAACTGTGTACTTTTCAAGATCGGAATTTTTTAACCTTCAGAATTTGAATACAAGTGATTTAGAAAATGTTTACTATCTTTAACAAAAGTTAACAAATTATTAAAAATGAATTTGAATATTTTTTAGTATTTATTTATTTTATTTATTGTTATTTATTTATTTTACATCCCTCCAACGTCATCTTTTGATACATACAAATTTTGATTTTTCCACAATTTATCATAGTATAGCGTTCATAATTTTAGCTAGTTGTCGATTAAAATAAATGATTAATTATCATAATTATAAATTTATTTTATTATGATTTTAGAAACGAAAATAGAGCATAGTTGTTATATCTATTCACATTGATAAATAATAGATGTCTATTTTATACTGTCAAGACTATATTTTTCTAGTTGACAGTTTCATATTACTGGTTGCGAGATACATATTTTAGAATTTACATCCATTTTCAATGGTCACATCTATATCTCTAATTGACTTACTACTTTAATGATTGTTATATCGATTTCTATAGTTGATACTTTCACACTGTAAAACGGAAGGTATTAATTTAATACCGACTTTAGGTGTTTAATTGTCATTATGTTCTATTTTGATACATAAAATCGGTACTATTTTAGTACTTTTTTACAGTGCAAATACTAAAATTCTTTCTTTTGATAACCAGGTGTCAGGTTTAGCATTTATTATTTTGTACTGTAATTACAATGTATGAAAGTGTCAACCATAGGAGTGAATCGGTATCAACCATAAAATTGCTACGTTATCTAGAAATATGAATGTGGTAACAATAGAAAATGAATATACCATATTTATCATATAAATGATTGAGTCAATCATATCTTTTCTTTCCGCATGGTAATAATGCTCATAAAATTTTTCATTTTTCATATTAACTGAGTATAATATATGAATAAATTTAATTTACAAAAATAATTTCACTTTTGCAATAAGCATATTATCTGTATAGTAAGTTAAGGACTGCATACTGTAGCTATTCTGGAGATCTTTTGTAAATATTGATAGAATATTTTCAAGATATGTATAAGAGTTATCTACTGAATGATCGACATTTATCCATAAAAAATAGTGTACATAGTGACAGTTAGGATAACCTGGCGAAATCTCAAAATATCACGTGGACATTTTCAGAATAACTGACTATCTATTTGGACATCTTTCAAAAATCCATCATAAATTTTTCGGCAGTTTCCGTAAATTGGGATATCGCTGAAATGTCCATAGGATATCTACGGACATCAGTGGTACATTCAATGGAATACTTTATTTCTGAGCCTTGTCGAATTTTTGAAACTTTTTGCATTGCTGGATGTTGTGAGGCACAATAACGAATAGGTTTCAAGTTAATTTGTAAATGTTCAGTTTTACGTTTTCTGAAGTTAGTTCTGCGAACATTTTGTACTAAAATTAAAAGGATAGGTAAATATTAGATATTATAGAATACAAAACAAAATAAAACACTTAAACTCTATAAATTTAGAACAAGGATAAAAAGTTAAAAATCTTAATATTACAAAAAGTAAATTTTATTTAACAAAGAGAAATAATTAAAGTATATTCAGTACAAAAAACATATTTTGAATATAACGCTCTACTACAATAATTATGAAAATATTTTATATATTATAAACAAAGTTGTAAAGTATCTTCACGTATAAATATGTATTAGTTTTCTTACTCTTTAATTTTTATTGCAATATATTCTGATATATGAAATTAAAAAAATTTACACTATTCACTTTTATTCTAAAATTCTAATATTACAATAAAAAGTAGTAATTAAATAGAATATTTTAATTCTTTTTTTATTTAAGTAACATGAAATACAGCATCGTGGTAAAATAGCTTATAGGAAAACTCGGTTTTACAATGCTTTATTGTAAAACACAACAAAAAACATCATTTCTTTTTTATATGAAAATCGCGTTAATTAAAAAAATTAAACTTACCACTTACAAATGTAATTGACAAAATAAAGGAACAACAGGTATCTTTTCTAATAATAATAATTATTACTCCCACCTCTACCGCCACGCCCATTTTTACCACCTCGTTGAAAATTATTTTTATAATAAAGTTGTTTTTTCATAACCTGAAAAATAGTATTACTCAGAAAATAGCAAATAAGGAACTTGGAAAAAAGTGTGAGATCCCTTAACCTACCTTCAATTGTTTCTTTAGATTTTTCTCCCTTTCCGTTTCGTGGAGAGGATTTGGGTACGGCTCAATGTTGGAAGATTTATCAAAAGAAGATGGTTCCAAAAATGTTGACGGATTTTCTCTAAACATATTGTTCTGCGCTTCCAATTGACGTCGCACAGTGGGAAAAAAATGACCCTCTGTGGACAAAAATCTACCGACAACACAAATCTTAACCGATTTTAATATTTTTTTTTAAATACTCGGAGAGGTTTTTCGTGTAACGCACAACTGCGATAAATTTGATTTATTTAAAACTAACCTTAAAAATGATACCTATATATGAAATTACGTTATTAGGATGGTTTAAAAAATAAAAAAATGATTAATTTTGATATAGCAGAGAGTATTGTGAACCCTTTTTGATCACTGAATGCGAATTTGACATTAAAATTGCAAAATTTTAAAATTCAAAATGGCGGATGCAATATGGCAGGCAATGTTTTATAAAAGTCACCAAATTCACTCGAAAGTTGTTATATTCAGGGGTTTTTAAGGTCGATGGTTACGAATCTGAAGTCTGATTTCAAAAATTCAAAATGGCGGATCCAATATGTCGGATTAAAAAATTAAAAACTCATTGAATTTGCATGAAAGTTGTTACTTGAAGGTTTTTGGGGTCGCTGATTACGAATCTGAAGTCAAATTTTTTAAATTTGAGATGGCAGATCTAATACTAATAATCTAATAATAATATAATACTCTAATCTAATACTATTTTGAATTTTTCTAATTAGACTTCAGATTTGTAATCAGCGACCCCAAAAACCCCCGGGTAACAACTTTCAAGCAAATTCAATGAGTTTTTAATCCGACATATTGGATCCGCCATTTTGAATTTTTGAAATCAGACTTCAGATTCGTAACCAGCGACCTTAAAAACCCGTGAATAACAACTTGGGAGTGAATTTGGTGACTTTTATAAAACATTGCCTGCCATATTGCATCCGCCATTTTGAATTTTAAAATTTTGCAATTTTAATGTCAAATTCGCATTCAGTGATCAAAAAGGGTTCACAATACTCTCTGCTATATCAAAATTAATTATTTTTTCATTTTTTAAACCATCCTAATAACGTAATTTCATATATAGGTATCATTTTTAAGGTTAGTTTTAAATAAATCAAATTTATCGCAGTTGTGCGTTACACGAAAAACCTATCCGAGTATTTAAAAAAAAAATATTAAAATCGGTTAAGATTTGTGTTGTCGGTAGATTTTTGTCCACAGAGGGTCATTTTTTTCCCACTGTGCCTTGATTGGTAATTTTCTGTCTGAACTGTTCCTGGAAAGGGTTATTTTCAAATTTTCGTTTATCGTTTCTGATGAGACTTTCCAGACTGATCGCGTCGCGGAAGATTTTGGCAGGAGGTTCTTTTGTTGTGGATGAGTCGGTTCACCCGTTCGAAAAAACGCAAGGCGGAGTGGGGATAACTTGACTGGAGAGGTGTGCAGCTCGAGGACATCCATGTCATCATCCTCAATAGCAGCTGTTGTAGAAGTTGGTGCTGGACTGGGGGGGGATAAAATGCGGATGGCTTCTTCGATTGAAAATAGTAACATCTCGGTGTTGGCTGTGGGGTCGTCGCGGAGTGAGCCCTCTGTCGGAATGCCCGTTTCGCGAATATTGTTTGACGGCACATTTTCAGGTAGTGATAGAATAGGCACGTCCTCGTCCAACGGTTCTCGCCGCACTGACGACGGGAAAATGACTGCGGCATCAGGTTCGGGCGTCACTTGGGAAATGATGCTCGAGTCGATTAAAGGAGTAACCACTTGAAATGTATTTGCAGCTACAGTTACTACCGGAGGAAGAGCCGTAGGTACTGGGTCTAATGTTGAGCACTCGATAGGAACCCCCATTTTTACAGGAAAGAGAGTTAGCGGCGCTACATTTTCCAAAACCGTCTTGGCAGAATTTTCTTTTTCAGGTGCTGAGATATCGATGGACGGGTTAACCATAACATTTTTACTTTTTCTTTTCTTTCGTCGACGTCCTACCGGTAAGGGAATGTAAACATCGGGGTTCCGAAGCTGTTCCTCCCAGGCTTGACGGCGTCGCTCGGTCCTCCTTTTGTTTTGAGAGGGTCGTTTTGGCGGTTTGACGACAGTAGTTATCACAGCGTCCATTTTTCCGCGACTCCGTCTTTGATGTTGCATCGGTCGCTATTTGCGAAAAACTGATCGTCGGAAGGAAGATGATGCAGTAAAAGAAGGAAAGGGAGGGGGGCGTCTCTGCTTATGAGTCGCCATATGTACTTCCCACGCGCATGCGCCGTTCGTTTATTCTGAACTTAAACGTGTACCGCGAAATTTTATTTATATTTTTTCGAACATAAGTTCCTTTTACACGGAAATCACAACTAGTAAATATTTACAGTAACGAGAACAAAAAATGAAGTAAAACTTTGTTTTTGAAATATTTACAACGGTAAAATAAAAAGTAGTAAAAAAAAATTATCTATATATATATACAAAAAATAGAAGCAAATGACAAAAAGAAACAATCGAACTCGCCGGTACTTGGCCACTTGATTCGGGCTATCACGAATTTCTTTTCTCATTTTTTTCGAGGTCGTAAATTATACCTTCCGTGGGTGATTAATGACGTATTCACTTTTCCGTCATTATACGCTACTTCGCTACCGGACGCCAGATGCTGTTCTTCTGAAATTCGTTGAATTCCATCCTTTGCCAATTTATCCGCGCTTTCATTTCCAGGTGTTCCGCCGTGGCTCGGCACATAATTCCATTTCACCGACTCAAAACATCCAAGAAGTTTGTGTAAATGGATCAAGTCTTCTTTGTTTTTTATCGGTTTTCCTCGGGTATTAACCCAGCCCCTGTCAATCCAGGTAGGTATCCACTGTTGGAAACTGTTTATCAAGGGTTTGGAGTCAGTATTAATAGTGAGTTTCTTAGCACCCATCTTCAGAGCCTGTTGAGCGCCCAACAGCGCGGATCGTAGCTCGGCCGCGTTGCACGTTTGGTTGCCTTCCACGGGCATTGAAATATTACAAGGATGTAGCTCGTTGAAATAAACTCCAACCCCGGTCCAAGCACGCTCCGTGCCGTTGAATGAACAAGCGCCGTCGGTAAACACCTGAAGGTATCCGTCTTTATCATAAAGGAGTTTACAATTTTCGAATATGGTGGACTCCTGGCCTTGAACTTCCATTGATTTTTCGACAAATTCGGGTTCGAGATTCTCTCTTCTTTTCTTGGGGGGCGACCTCTTCGCTTGGGAGACTCAACTTCATCCAAATCTGATCTACCTCTGGGTTCTTCTCCTCTTGGCAAGACGACCGGCTGTTCCTCGAATTGAGCTGGGCGCAGGTCCCTAGCATGAATTTTCACTCTCCTTTCACCCAACGCAACGAGATACACTGCGCTACTCAACACTTGAATGATTTGGAAAGGGCCCTCCCATTTAATTGCCAAACCTGCATTAAAAAATTTCTCTTTGTCGGAGAGGTGATGCGCCCTGACTCTCACCCAATCTCCCTCCTTAAAGCGCGGCGTTTTAACAGAAAGGGTAGCAGAGTCTTTCTGATAAGAAGCTTGGTGCTCGCGGACTTCCCGTAATCGAACCTCTCTTTCAGATTTCGGATCTGGCTTCGCGGTGATAACCAAAACGTTGGAATACCTCTACTTCTAAAACTTTAACGAGTTTAGAAGCCGCTGAATTTCCTAGTGGGAACGCTTCGACCCACCTCGAACAGAGATCAGTCACGACGAATAAAAATTTCTTTCCTCTACTGGACCGAGGATAAGGCCCCATTAAATCGACTGATATCATGTCCCACGGTGTTTTTGGTTATAAATGCGACATGATCGTACGTAGTTCTTGATTTGTTCATGCATTCCCACCCAATAAAAATGCTCCTGTATCGCTCTTGATGTTTCGTCAACTCCCGGATGACCAGCCAAATCAACGTCGTGGAACTCAAACAACACCCCCTGCTGAGGTCCTTCAGGAACCCACAACAACGGTAACGCTTCTCCACGTCGCGATGTTTAGCGCTTGCGTAACTGATTACTTGGTTGTGTCCATCTGGGTGCGTCTGAAAGAGCAACGCGCCCATTCCATTTTCGCTAAGACTGGTGTGGAGTTGGAGTTTCAAATGAGGGTCTGGTCGAGCTAAGCGTAGATCCATTTTGAAAAGCTCTTTGATTCTTTTGAATGCTGAATCTGCTTCCTCGGTCCAAATCCATTTACGATTCTTTATTAGTAGATCAGTGAGCGGTGATGTTAATTCTGCAAAATCGGGAACATATTCACGCACCCAATTACAAACTCCAAGGAACTGTTGGAGTCCCCTTTTTCCTTGTTTTAACAAACTTTATTTCATAAGTAGCCAAAAATTGTTTTAGATAACATTTTTAATTAAACAGAACAGGTAAATTGATTATTTTAGTTGATTAATTTCTATATTAAATTAGAATATGAAATTTTATTATTTTTCTCGATTTGTCTAAAAAAACCGGTATATTTTTTATTTATGCTAATTTTTTATGTATGAAAACTTAAACTTAACTGCAAAGTCTTTTAAATAATAATATTTATTAACGTGATATCTCTTGATATTCTAGACTTTTTACGGCTTTGGAAAGTCTATTCACTTATTTTCTACTGTGTAAATTTTTTTACTAACTCAGCAAACAAATGTATTAATTACCTTGAGAAAATAATTGCAACTTGTTGGATAATATGTCACTCTTACGTTTTTGGGGTCGCTGATTACGAATCTGAAGTCAAATCTTAAAAATTTTCAAAATTCAAAATGGTGGATCCAATATGGCGACCAAATTTTTTTTAAAAATTATCAGATTTGCTTGAAACTTGTTACTCGGGGGTTTTTGGCGTCGCTGATTACGAATCTAAAGTCATATTTTAAAAAGTTTCAAAATTCAAAATGGTGGATCCAATATGGCGATCAAATTTTTTTTTAAAATTATCAGATTTGCTTGAAACTTGTTACTCGGGGTTTTTTGGGGTCGCTGATTACGAATCTAAAGTCATATTTTAAAAATTTTAAAAATTCAAAATGGCTGATCCAATATGGCGACAAAAATTTTTTAAAAATTATCAGAATTGCTTGGAACTTGTTACTCGGTGGTTTTTGGCGTCGCTGATTACGAATCTAAAGTCAGATTTAAAAAATTTTCAAAATTCAAAATGGTGGATCCAATATGGCGACCAAATTTTTTTAAAAAATTATCAGATTTGCTTGGAACTTGTTACTCGGGGGTTTTTGGCGTCGCTGATTACGAATCTAAAGTCAGATTTTAAAAATTTTCAAAGTTCAAAATGGCGGATCCAATATGTCGACCAAATTTTTTTAAAAATAATCAGATTTGCTTAAAACTTATTCTTCGGGGGTTTTTTGAGTCGCTCATTTCGAATCTAAAGTCAGATTTTAAAAATTCAAAATGGTGGATCCAATATGGCGACCAAAAATTTTTTAAAAATTATCAGATTTGCTTGAAACTTGTTACTCGGGAATTTTTAGGGTCGGTGATTACGAATTTGAATCTGGATTTTATAAAATAAGATTGGTGGTTCCAAAATGGCTAATAAAGTATTTAAAAATTGGATGGATTCGCCACCCTTATCTCCATAAACCAATCCTTTCACATTATTCAATTAGTTGTTTTAAATTTTTCTTCCATACAAATTTAGGCTTCATTTAAAGGATCTTAAATATCATAAAAGTAGTTTTTCTAAATACTACCCTTAATCCCCAAAACTACCCCTTAATATAGAAATTTAATATTTTTTAAAATTTACTCTACATAAATCTTTTATAATTTTAGCTAATTTGAGGCTTTTAAATAGCCTTAAATTACATTTTGAAAAATCTACCCTTAACTCCAAGAATCTCGTCCTTTAAATATTTAAATTAATTTTTAAAAATTTTTTCTTTCCTTTATAAAAATTTTTTCTATATCATTTTTTTACAATTTAAGCACAACTGAAACTTTCAAATATTCTCAAATTGAATTTCAAAAACTGTCATTAACTCTTAAAACCTTAACCTCAAAAATCAGCCTCATTACATTTAAGTTTATAAATGAAAACAAATTTTACAATTTCATCCGCCATATTGGCTCCACCATTTTGAATTTTTAAAATCTAACTTTATATTCGTAATCAGCGACCCCAAAACCCCCGAGTAGCAAGTTTCAAGCGAATCTGATCAAATTTTAATAAAAATGTCCGCCATATAGGATCCGCCATCTTGAATTTTGCAAGTTTTTAAAATCTGACTTCAGATTTGTAATCAGCGACCCCAAAAACATAAGAGTGACCCATTATCCAACAAGTTGCAATTTTTTTCTCAAGGTAATTAATACATTTGTTTGCTGAGTTAGTAAAAAAATTTGCAAAACATGGTACAGTAAAGACGCCATTTTGAATTTTTTAATTCACTACTTTTTATTCAAAGCAGTATGAGCTGAAGATTATTTTGAGCCGTAATAAGTTGATTTTCGTTGATTAGAATTTTGGATGGAGCTCTGGGTCGGTTGACGTGAAACGTGCCATATATATATACTAGAGGGGCTACGCCCCCCTGCGCGCTTCGCGCGCCAACCCCCCTATTTTTGGCGGGAAATACAAAGAGAGATGAGGGAAGGGGGAAGGACTTACTGCTTTATTAGGGTCTTAAAACAAACATAACCTCAAAATTTAGGTTAATTTTTGGCGGAGGAGGGGAAATGAGAAGAGGGAGGGGGAACTTGCGGCTATATTCAGAGCCTTGAAACGAACATAACCTCAAAATTTAGGTCATTTCTGGCGGGGGAGGGGAGGGGACTTGCGGCTATATTCAGAGTCTTGAAACGAACATAACCTCAAACATAACCTCAAAAATTTACGTACGAAACCCTCGGTATGAGTGAGAGTTGCACTCGTACTTGTCCGATTTTTAGTTTTTTTTTATTGTGGATGCTTTTAACTCAAAATGCTCTTTCACTGCGTCACACTTTTTTCATTTCGCAGTACATCAATAACATCTATTAAACAAAGGCTACTAAAAAAAATTTCGGATGTCAGAGATCGAGGTGTCATTTTCCGTAGTTTTTGGTGCGCTGAATCCGAATCTGGCGACGAAAACCTCCCATCACGTCAGGATTTTGAGAAAAGTGGGGGTAAAAGTCCCAAAAATCACGTTTTTGGCAGTTTTGGAAAATTTCTACCGGGCAAACCCGACGTGCTAGAGACTTGTCCTAAGAGTCAAATTAAAGCTTGATCCGTGTACTTCACGAAGATATAGCGATATTGACAACAACAAACTAAATTAGCTGTCAAAAATGATTTTTTTAAGATGTAAAACTCAAAAATTGACTCACAATGTCCGTAAATACAACTATTTTAAAAAATAATTAGATTCGCTTGGAACTTGTTATTCGGGGGTTTTCGGGGTCGCTGATTACGAATCTAAGGTCAGTTATAAAAAATCAAAATGGAGGATCCAAAATGGCGGACGACTTTTTTAAAAATCGATTCAATACAACATATTGGATACGCCATTTTTAATTTTTAAAAATCTGACATCTTATTAGTAATCTGCGACCCCGAAAATCCCCGAGTAACAATTTCCAAGCGAATGCAATGATTTTTTTAAATAGTTGTATTTACGGACATTGTGAGTCAATTTTTCAGTTTTATAACTTAAAAAAATCATTTTTGACAGCTAATTTAAATCCAATTAAATTAATTCATTATTCAGTCATTAAGATGCTTCAGTCTCTGCCACGTTTAGCAGAGTAGAAAATTCGATGTATAAATGGAGACAAAGTTGTTCTCCTCCAGTTGTGAAAACATTGCGTGAGTACGCTGAAACGGCTAACCGAGAGGAGTGACAACACTTCATTAACTACAATGATAGACAAATAAGAATTACACATGCTGTTGGGCGAGATTTATCGGAGTTGGTTATAATCATGGATCCTAACTTTGTCAGAAAAGTATCAGTAAATGGATATTTCTTTATTGGTGCAACGTTTAAAGTAACGCCAGCATCAATTGGTGCTCAACAGTTTTTGACGATAATGACGAAAAAGTATAATAAGGTAGGTTTTTTATAGTAATTATTTGTATTTAATAGAAAAACGTAAATAATTTAATGTAAAAATATTAAATAATAAACATTGTTATAAATAATAGCCACAGAA